TTCGTGGAAAAAATTAATTTGCATGATAAGAGAAACAGCGGCAAACCACGAATCAGAGAATCCAATGTATAATTGACCAGTGCACGTTAATCAAAAGACCATTGAAAGTTTAGATTGCGTTCAAAAACTAGTTACTCGTGATGTATGATTATTCAAGTCCTCGTGAGAATACACTAACAGAGCAGGTGGAACTATTCATGCAAAAATTTCAAAATACAATGTCCAAAACTACTACTTGGTGACGAATGTTTTTAACTAGTTACGGACCGTATGAATCTAGTTGGGATCAACCAATGCAACTGATTTTGTACCAATTAAAACAGCGATACTTTTGTCCTTGCCATGGGTCTCTCCAACCACTCACGGTATATCTACTCTTAATTACATATCTGCTCAGCCCAGACTCCTGAAAGCTCGCAACTGAACAACCAACGATGAAAAAAAAAAAGTCCACCCATCGGAACTCACCGATAAGAATCTTCTCAGCCACCGCGGGTCCGAGCACGAGGGCGAGGCAAACGAGCCCGAGCATCAGCGTTCCCATCCTCCCTATGAAGCCGTGCTTGCAAACGCCAGCAGTCCCCGCATCAGACCCCAACCGGCATCTCCTCGTCTTTGCCGTCGTCATCCTTCCGAAGAGCGTGGAAGCTGGTCCACCACGAACACCACCACCACCACCACCACCACCACCGGCACCACAGGCGCGGCAGCCCCGGCTACTTTGAAAATCCGCACGGGTGCACCTCTCGTCGACAAAAAGCTCCACCATCCGCGGCCCACGGTCCCTCGATCCTTATCGCAAGCCCGACAACCTCGTTATCGTTACCCCCATCTCTCTTGTCTATCATAATACTCGCGCGGGTGTCCCGTCATCAACGGCAAACAGGGGGTGGGTGCAACAAAAAAGAACAAAAGTCGGTTGGAATACCCAACAATTGCAACGACAACAATGTCCGGTGCAACAATAGTCAGAGCACGTAAACGGTATACGTGTACTCGGCGCACGTTAAGCACGTACCTACGTATGAACGCGCCCTCGCCACACGACCCAGCTCCGGCGCGTCCGAGCTCACTGGGGCTCCGGCACAAACTGGCTCTCCGCAACACCACCACCCACCATCCAGCCGCGAGTCGCGCGCTCCCGCGAAGATGTAGAGGGAGAGGGATGTGGAGTCACGAGTCGACTACCGTATATGTATATGTATATATTTATATACGTGCTCTCTCCTTTCGCTATACTGTAGCGTCAGCATCCCCTCCTACCATGTCCTGCGTGCACCCTCTCTCTCTCTCCCTTCATCCTCTTCCTTACAACCCCGCCCTATCTACCCTCTTTCGTCATTTTCTGTGCTTTTTTGACCCTATGGCGTCCGATTGGGTCCTTTTTTCCATCTCCGATTGCTCGGAGGCCCCAAATCTTAAGGAAAAACGTCACCGAGGTGATCCCGCGTAATCAAACTCGAGTGGATGGCCCCGTGTCCTGGGGGGCAAAATGAGTGAAAAATCCCAATTAACGTGGGGGTAAAAAAAATGTACAAAGTTTAAAGGCCACAAGTTTCAGCTTCGCGAACGACTTAATCGATGCCACTGCGGCGCGAGAGAGAGTTGACTTTAAAATTGCCCGCCACAGGGTGGGGGTGGATTTTTATGCCCAGGGAAAGGGCGGGTGATGGGAAGGGGCAAAAAGTAGAGTTTACCGTGGATCGAGTGCACCTCGGCGTGTAATTTCCTGGACAAGTTTGGAGAGTCGCGCTCGCGTAATTTTTCGCCAGCGAGAGTTTTAACCGCGAGACGTGGAATGTCAAAAGCTCGGACAGGGGGGTAGGGGTTCTTTGATTCGCGTTAAGGTGGTTCTCGCGACATAAAACTTGATTTGAAAGTACTACGAAACTGTTCTTCGTCCCGGGAACGAGCCGCAAGTTTTCTTTTTTTTTTTTTCCTCCATCTCGTGGTTTTAATAATAAAGCAGGTGACACTTACGTATGAGGTATCACCTCCATTGTTTTTATGAAATCTCCCTCTTGAATGTGTACAGAGGGTCGAGAGATGCAGATTAAGGCTAACGTAAAAAAAAAAAAAAGAAAAAAATGCTCTATGCTCATCCTTGAAACATACAATATTTTTTTTTACCGATGGTTAGAGGCCCTGGGAACTTGTACCTTTAGATTTAGAATTTTTTTGTCGAGTAAACGGAAAAAAACGAAGGTATAACAGTCACAACAAACCCACACGCATAAATAAAATAGTGGGGCCACGTAAACATCGAGACGTCGCAGTATAATATCCCGCAGAGAATGTCCGGACGTTAGGAATGCACAAAGAGATCGAGGTAAAATAGACGGAAAGCTCGCAAGCTCGAGGATATATCCTTCCTCTAGCTTCGGTGTACGTACCCGCGCAGACACGCCAACGTACACAGCCACTGTAGAAGCAGCAGGGGTGAGAGAGAGAGAGAGAGAGTCCTGGCGCTCGCTTAATCACAAATCCGTTAACTCGATTTCCAGCCCAACCTAGCTATAAGCAGGCGCTCTCGCGCGCCGTGTCGTGCAACTCAGTAATTCCAATCGCTTCCCCCCACACCCCTTTTACCGCCGCCTACACTCGTCTCTGTGTGTATGTATCCTCCCTTGCTCTCTCTCTCTCTCTCCTTAAAAGTCATATCCGGCGGAAGTCGGGTTTTACTTGTGTTTCTCTCTCTAGCGCTCGCGCTCCCAACTTTTGCGCGACTTTGCATAATATAAATTATGCAGATCCTAGATCGAAACTTTAAACGGGTGACGACGAGTCAAGGGGGACGGAGCGGGGTGTATTGGGCCCAAGAAGTCGGGTACAGTGGGCCTTTGGGGCTGAGCATGTATATATGTGTGTACTTGCTTCGGCGTCGCCTCCTTCGACGTAACAGTGGATAAGCTGTAGACAACGAGGGATGAAAAAGTGTGTACTAGCGGGGCCTGGATACGGGAACTTTTTAATTCGACTCGAGCTTTCAGGGGGGTTTTCCGGAGATTTGCGGGGCAAAGGGACCAACGTTTAGATTTGCAAACTCCACCCCAAAATCACTTTTAACAAAACATTCTAGGTACACTTTTTCCTTTTCCTCGATGACTTTACTTTAAGAAGAAATGAAAAAAAAAAAAAAAAAAGTTTGATGATTCGTGGGAAAGAAGGTTCGAATTTCGAGAAAACGTGTACACATAAGCCGGTCGGAGTTGACATAACGAGCCCAAAGTGCCTAATTTACCTTTGCAGTGCGTACGTAAGAGTAGCAACCGGAAAAGCAAAAAAAGGAAGAACAAAGAAAAGCGTCGAGGGCAGGTATGAATCGCAATAAATGTCTGAGGAGTCGCGTCAAAGCTACGGGGGGTCGCACGCCCCGCGGAGAGTATGAAATAAAAGTTACCGGCCAAAGGGACCACTGCAACGTGTGTATATGTAAACGAAGAGGGCCAAGGATCAAGGGAAAAGCCAAGGATGGGGGGTGAAAGAGTCGACGATTTTCTGGCCTTTTAAATTCGCACGCGCCTCGCCGCGCTTTTATGTTTTTTTTTCTCCTTTTTCCTTTTTTTCACTGTTGTGCGGTGTTGTCTGCAGTACACCGGGAACGACGACGACACCGCGAGGAAGCCGAGAAAAGAGACTCCTGTAAACATCAGAAATCCACGCGAAAACGCGCGAAACCTCGGGGGCAATTTCTGCTCCTCTCCTTTCCGCTCTTTCTCCCTTCGTCGGATGGGAGGATATTTCTTCCCCCCACCCCCTTTTTTGTTGCTGTATTTTTCGTCGAAAGCGAGAGGGTGCGATTTTCCGGGTGCGTGAAGTAACAACAGTTGCGCTGGAAAAATTTTTTTTTTTACCCCGCGCGCGGCTGCACTGCACAGCTTTTTCCCGGGCTTGTCAATATTTCAGTGTTTGTCGCGAGAAATGTACCAACGCGAGATGCATGTGTGCCAAGATTTCGAAGTAAATAGACAGCTTTTTTTTTTTTTTTTTTGTTTTTGCAAGCGCATCGCGGCGTTTTGGGCAAATAGACATTTCGTTGAACTGTTTTATGCTGCGCAGTGATTCGTGTCCACGGGATTTTTTTAGTTGGTAAATATTGCTCGAGGGAAATAATTTTAATATCGCGACTGAAAGAAACGGGGGGGGGGGCTTGGTAAGCGATATTGCGCGGACTTTGTGCACTTAAAAACTCGTTTGACGATAATTTGGGATGCTTTTTCAAAGAGGAGAATTACTTTCGATATCAAATTCTTGTTTCGAGTTCATCAAAATTCCATCTTGCTCCTTTTGTACATTAATAGAAAATTGATCTTACGTAATAATTTACATTTTAATGTACCTTAAGAACTCCTTTGATATCTAATTTAAGGTCACTTGGTTGATAATCGTTAAAGTAGCAACGTTTGACTTTTTTCTCTTTTTTTTTTTCACTAGCAAACAACAACGTGAATTTGATTATTAGTACTAAGGCTAAGTTAGTAATGAGACACAATCTACGTGTGAATTTATTTACTTTTTTAAATTACCAATGAGTATGAGTCACATCGAAAGGTCGTCCTTTATTACTTTTTTTTCTCATAATATTGCATTCTGTTTTTTTTAATTTCAATGTATACTTTCATTAATACTTATTCTAGAGCACAACTGATGTTTTTCCAGCAAAAAAACTAGCTGTATTCTAGAGTTTAAAGTTAAAGAGAAAATTTTCATTGTTTTTTTCTCGTTACAAAATAAAAAAATACTGTTATTATTATTAAAAAATCAATTGTATTGTAAAATCTTGCATAATTTTCAGTTAAAAACGTGTGTTCTCTGTACATTAGATTTATGAAAAAAAAAAAAAAGTCAATCGACTCCAAAACGAATTATTTGAATTGAATGAAATTTCCCGCCTTCAAGTCATCACGAGAGAGCAAATCTCAGGTCAGGCTTGGCAGAGCAGAAGACGTCAAGTGCATATATATAAATATATTATCGTCATCGAAAGAGCGCAGCTGGTTGTGACAGACGTTGTTTGTAATTCGTTTTAAGCAACTTTTTCATTGTTCTTAAAAAAGCAATTATGGATCCAGCACTGCTTAGGGAACGCGAGGCTTTTATGAAAAGAGCTGCTGCGACTCCGAGGTAAGTTTTTGCTCAATTTTTACGATATTCACTCGACTAACCTACAAAATCTCAAGTGCCGAACTAAAATCGTTGTTTAATTTGTTATTCATAAATCAAGACTCACCTTGACCTTTAAACTAAAAACTAAAATTTGGCTCCATATTGTTGTTGCTAGTAAAGTTTAAGCTGGTCTTTTGTTTCCTACAAGTAATTAGACGATGTATACGATACAGTAGTGTTGAAAGGTGCAGTGTATCAATACTGACACAATTTACTTTCTGCTGATTTTATCTTTTGGTTAAAAAATTCTTTGTGCTTTTTTATTTAACAATAGAATACTTAGAATAGAAATTTGATGACATAATAACTCCTTACAGCATTGAGAAGAAAAAAAAAGAGCCAGAAAAGGAAACTGTTCAAAATGATCAGAAAAAGAAGTCCAAGCCATCGTCTGTGTCATCTGGTCCAAAACTTGATATGTATTCATACAAAACATCTAGTGGTAGTTCCCAAGTTAGATTTAGTATATTGACAAAAATTGTGCAGCACATGAAGGCGAGGTATCAAGAAGGTGAGGATCACCCGTTGACACTCGAAGAAATTCTTGACGAAACAAATCAACTTGACGTTGGAGTAAGGGTGAGTACAAACTTATCCATAAATAACACATGTATATTATGAGCATTTATTTTAATAAAAATACATTTTTTTATGGTATTCTTGAAAAATTTATATTGTAATTTGAAACAGGCAAAACAGTGGCTTCAAGGAGAATCTCTGACACAAAATCCTAAAATTGAAGTGACACCAGATGGAAAATACAGTTTTAAATCAAAGTACAAATTGAAAGATAAAAAGTCACTTTTGAGATTATTAAAACAGCACGATCTCAGAGGAATGGGTGGTATCTTGTTAGAAGATATCCAGGAAAGCCTTCCACATTCTGAAAAACATTTAAAGGTAAGGAATAATAATACCCACTCGATATTCATTTTGCATTGTCAAATATATATTTTACAATTCCCTTTTTCCTTCATACAAATATAAACGTATATACATAGATGAAAACTTTTAGAATCTTCAGAACGAGCTTCTATACATTACGCGATCACAGGACAAAAAGAAAATAGTCTTCTACAATGACAAAACCGCTCACTTTCCCGTTGACGAGGAATTCCAGAAGCTTTGGCGTGCAGTGACTGTGGAAGCCATGGACGACGCCAAAATCGAGGAGCATCTGGAGAAACAAGGCATCCGATCGATGCAGGACCACGGACTGAAAAAGGTCGCGGCTATCAAGAGAAAAAAGCCGAATAGCAGCAAAAGGAAACAATTCAAAAAACCGAGGGATAACGAGCACTTGGCTGATGTTCTGGAGACGTACGACGAGAACAAGTAGACAGTTTGTCCATCAGGGTTGCGTTGTTTACATATGCGTGTATAAAAAAAAAAAAATTGAACTAATGTTCGTTAAATCTAGAAAAACAATCTTAATAAACGCGCAAATGTAGAAATTAGTCCTTTGGCAATGCAGAGTCGCTTTTCCCTCTGGAATAAACCTTCGTCGATTTGCTGCCGAGCATTCTATCTAGTAACGACTGCTTGTTTCTGCGCTTCGCTGCTAAAACCTCGCGACACAGCTCGTGAAAAGAGTCTCCGACTTGGTCGATCTAAAAATATGTTTCAAATTATTCTCGTTGGATCGAAATTTTTGTTGAAACTTGGCGGGACACAGCAGGATAATCATTCAAAGCTTGTACAATACATGCCTGCTCGGCAGCCGAAATCTCGCAGAACCAGCAATCCATTTCTTTGGCCAAAATTTCGCCCTCCTCTGTATTGATCTGTCGTAAATGAATCATGTCGACTTTATTGCCAACAAGTGCGAGAAGCATCGAACCTTCCGGATCAGCGACTGCCAATGCCTGTTTCACTTTCCTTATGAACTTGAAGGAGCTTCGTTCCGTAATCGAGTAGACCAACAGCAATCCGTCAGCCCATTGCAGTGTTTCTATAGACGGTAGCTCGTCGACACTCTAATTTTTGAAGAAAAGTCGCTCGATTACTAGTTTTCATGGACATGTTTTCCACATTCGAATTTTGTGTAAATACCAAACGTATTTTACTTTTACTGTGAGATTATTAATTGTTTACTACGATAATTGTATTAAATAACATAATGCCTTAAATTTTAATAATAAATCTAGTATTCTAATGGAAATTTTTGTTGAAATGTTTTTTAAACGTAAATAATAACATGTCAGTTTAATGAAATTTCAATAACATTCAATTATTAACTTTCAAGCCATTATTGCAATAAACTGCGAGGACAACGAATGTTGAACCTCGTCAACTAAACGGTCAAAATAACAATTTATGACTGAAAGTATAGTCACCCTTTCGTTCCTTGATGCGTGGGGAAAAAGAAAATGAGAAAATTTTTTTATTAAAAATTGTATAAGGTGCTTGGAGTAAATTTGAAAAATAAATAAAGTACGAAAAATTTACCTTGGGACACGTGTCCAGAATCTCGAATAGTATCGGCTCTCCGTCTACGAGTACCTCGTGCTTGTACTTGTTCTCTGCAACATACAGAACCAAATGGAATATCGTCAAAAAGTTTCAAAATAATCATTTGTACGTGTGAAAGTGAAATTATTAATTGGCAAATAAAAAATACAAAAAATGCAGGTATACAAGGAATGACAGGGAGAGAGATGATGGAGTGGCCGCGTTCTCTCGACGCTCGAGGCGTCTTAATGTCAAATCGTCCGTCTTCGAAACGAATTTAGATCTCGCGAGTAAGAGCCGAGGGGAAGAAGAGCTTTGGTGTATGGATTAGACGTTTCTTTGGCAATTTTTCAAAGCAAGTGCAGCAGTCGCGTTCCTTGCTCTTGTCTCGGACTCTTTGGCGGCTACCTTGATCGTCACCATCAACTCGATTGCACAGTGTTGAAACGATGCGTGTGCAGCGGAACCTTGACTACTTATGATGTGATTTTGGGGGAATGGACGGATTTTTGGACGCGGAATTTGGGAAAGTAACATATGCATTCCATAAACAACAGGTGTAATCAAAATTAAATTTTTTCATGCTGATTTTATTCAGATTTTGGGACGAAATAATTATTTTAAGTACGACCGCTTTATCCCGTGTGAATTACGTATTTTTTAAACATTTTTTAAAATTAATTACTGGGAGAGTCCAAGTATTTTAAATTATTTGGTTCTAAGTTGATAGGTAAATAACTATGTCTTTATTAATATTAAAGGAAAAGAAATTTTGGGTCCTTTTTCATGGAGAAATTTTTAGATACAGAAATACAACCTTTGTCTGTTGTATACTTTTTTTAAGTAGTAAAATAAATACTTTGGATCACAAGTTCTTGCGTTAGACGTTTTCGAAATTTTAAATAAGATATTCGTAACCTTGCGAATTTCTTGTTAAAATATTGTGTGGCTGAAATGTTTTCTGTTGAATGTGCAAAAAACACAAAAAAACTTTACTTCTTTAGATATTTAAAAATTACTATAAATTACAGAACATTAATTTTTGTTTTTGGCACAAACAGTTGTTCAGAAACTTAAAATGACGGGGTATACGTTGCATATCGACTAAATTATTTCCTGAACATGTGTTAAAAATAAAAATTTAATAATGGTGCCCAAAATTATTAAGATGAAAACTTCATGTTTTAAGGGACGTCTAACAAGGATGTTTTTGTTGCATTTGTCACATCAACTACTTAATAACAAAGGTTTTTTTGTAAAAAAAATTGATGTCTCGATTTTTTATAGAAAATGTTGTATCGCAGCAGTAAAGAAAAAACTGATTCATTTTTTTTTTTTTTTTTGAAGGATGATAGTGTTATAAAATTTTAACGTGCTAGAGTAGCTTATTACAGAAAATATCATTAAAATAATAAAAATAACTTTTTATACAGTATTATTATCGATTAAAAATAGAAATTCTTTCTTATTAAAAATCAAGATATTCCAACAAGACATATAAATAGTATATATATGGTGTTATGGATTATGATAAAAGGATATTTTTTACCTGACTGATGATCGTATTCGCCGATGTATCGTCTCGTTAAAAATCTGACCGTTAAGGCTGAAACAAATTTTGGAGCATTGGTTATATATTATTTGGAGTTGACGTAATTTTCAGACAGATATTGTACATGGATTGCTCTATTAAGCAGAAAAAAAATTTTTTTTTAATAATTAATTAATTTCACCTTATTTTTGTTAATTATATTACATAATTACTTGTGGTTCTATTCCATATTTATCTTTCGTTTCGAAAATTTGATGCTGTAAATTGTTACGTGGGAAAGAGATATCTTATAATGTTGTACAGGATTTAAAAATTGTCATGTTAATAGTAACTTAGTAAAAATGGTTGTTGATTGATTTCTTACTGGTAATCAGGTTATAAAAATTTTTCAGTCATTTTATAACAAAGCTTCGATTAAAAACCTGTTTTTTTCATAATATCACAAATTGACATTTTACTCTGTGTCCTAGAAAATAATGTAGATCTCATTAAAATGTATTTCCTTGTACCACATTTTTTATTTATTAAGCTAAATGTATATATAAAATTTTTAAAAATGTTTTACTGCATAAGAAATTTAAACTATATATGATAAAGTGACGTTTGCAAAAGTTGTAGATCATACAAAAGAATAACCATTTGTATAAAGTAAAAAAGACAAAAAAAAAAGTTTTCTACATCGCACGTTTTTTAAAAATTTTTTGCCGTAATTTTTTATACACATGAATGGTTGTACAAGCATGCCTTTTTTAAAAAGTCGTAAGAAGAGGGGCGTGTGACATTTAATGGCTTGTGGTGGTCGATGAATGAAGCTCTTTCAAGAGTCGAGACCTAAAATGAGCTTAAGGTGACTTGCTTTGTTTTCTGGGGTAGAAGTAAAAAAATGTTGTAAATATTTTGGATAAAAAGCTTCCAATTATTTTTAACAATTACTTTCAAAATCAAAAAAAAAAAAATTGTTAAAAAAAAGCCTTCAGGAGTAAAAAATACATGCGTTCTAAAATAAGTGGTGAAAAAATTCTTTTATTTTCGTATTTCGATATTTTCTTTAAAATTTTCAATAGAACCAATACTTTTTCCAAAAAATATTCATCAGGGGCCATTTGCAATATGCTTCTAATCGTTGGACAGGAATCCTCATTTTCTCTTGTGGAAAGAATAACTAGGAAATTGTCGAAAAAAATTCAATTCCTCCCAATCACCGACACCTTTTTCTTACGAACAAAAAGCAAATGAATCGTTTCATAATATTTTCACAAAACGCTCGTGTAGATGAAAAGAAAAGGAGGGAAAAAAAAACACACACACACACAAACAAACGTTGCAAATTTTACGAGATCGCGGTATGTCGCGAGAAAATTTATCGCGCATAAAAAATTTTTAATCGCCAGCCAAACGACTGTCGAAAAAACATTTCATCCGTTCGAATATTTATCGGATGTAAATGGGATCCCGAAGAAAAAATAGAGACGGACCTTTGGAACAGAGAAACGATCCAGAAGCGAAGCACCAGCCGAAAATAGATTGCCTTATCACCATAGCTTTATGGCGGGCTCCGCTCAAAATACATCAACTATAGCCATCGCAAGAGAGGAAAATTGTGCCGCTGGCCTGCCCCGGTTATTCGTGCCACCATTTATTTTTGAACGAGTTTTAATGCTTTATCTGTTCCTCCCCTTAACCACCCCTCGTTCCAAAGATTTTGTAACGCAAACGAAAAATGTAATCGTAAAAACTCAACGAGAGCACGGCGGTGGAAACAAAACAAAAGTCGAGCCGAACCTTTGAAAAAAGCTCCATCAACGCGTCGAGCATTAGTCGGTGGCTGCAAAGTACACATCCAAGCGAAGACAGAAAAAGAGAGCCGTGCCAGCGCGAGGCGTTAATTTAATGTCTCAATTTAGTGAGCCGGAATTTAGAAAGGCCTCGCGAGCGGCCTGCCAATGGTCGGAAGAGGAATGTGCCAAAAAAGAGTGAAAATTACAGCTTGTTCGCATCATCGATATTATTATCATTATTATTATTATTATTATTATTGTTAATATTTGTTTTAGCGAGAAAATTTCGAAAAGCTCTCTATGACGGCGAGCTTTTACCCACGTGCGTACACATATGCAGCCAATCTGAAGGAACCCCGTGTAACGCGTGGATTAGGTGTTGCCTATAAATAGACGCTCCGATTTATACCTCTCCTTCTTTCTTTTTATGTGAATTATATAACTGCTGTACTATGTATAGACGCGTGCTTTCGAGATTTGATAGATTTTATGATCGCGTGGTGCGGGTAGGTATTGGTATTTGGTTTTTGGATGGAGCCAGAGCCTCAAAAATGGAAAGCTCGCTGATTGACTGGCACATTACGGAAGGTGCTTTTTGACTCCCTGTGACGTGAAAATTTTCACTTACCGATTCAACCGCTCTTATTTAAGATATTTTACAATTTAGAACGACAGTTTATGTGGTTGGTCCAGAAGTGCCTATTTAGGATGACCACGAAAATTGTTTATTCACGCTAAAAGAAAATATTTATTTCATGTTTTCTCTTTGAAACATTCTTATGCTTGAAAAAAAAAAAAAAAGAATTGGTTGAAAGCAAAATTCTGCTCGATCGAGTTAGAATTTTATACAGTGGAAGCATTATGGTTTTTCGGGAACCTCGTACCCATGGGCTACCCTTTCGTATGGCCCATTGTACGCACACACCACATAGCCATACTTCTTGGGTCCTCCAACACGCATCACCCACCCACCTTGGCGAAATTGATTTTCGGAACGAAAAGGCGCGGGTGGTAATTGTAAAATTCACGATACGCATCGCGAGCCCACGCGAGTATTTCAAGATCCATTGCTCATGGTTTTATTTCGAATCGAAGAGTCAACCGCTCGATGTATAGGCGCACCAAATGACGGTACGTTCGACTTGTGGCGGTGCACATTGCCTGCAACAGACGTGGCGTATACTCAGCTGTGCGATCCATGACGGAAGCATATTACGTGATCCACGGCTAATGCGATGGGTGTCCCAAAACAAGCTCACATGCTACGGGAACCCATGTTCGGACAACAAAGTCTCATCTGGGTTCCAAGCCGGAGTCATTTTTGAAAAAGATATACGTGGGGGTAGTTCGAGCACGTGTGCCGACCGAAAATGTACGTAATATAATTTATATCAAACGAGGTGGTGTGGCTGGCTAAGCTCCCAGGGACGTTCGTACGAGCGCGAGTAAACTTCCGTCTCGTTGCGTCGTTATCCCTCCCCTTTCGCTAACTCTACTCTTGGTCTGTCTTTCGCGGGAATCAGCTTTATTACTTCGCGGGAGGACCCTTTTGCTGCCCACACGGTGATAATGCGCGAGAATTTTATGCGCTTTCTGCAAAGTTGGGGCTGTGTTTTGCCGGTTCTCGGCTTCCGGAAAATGAGTGGGTATCTTTTTTTTTTCTTCTTTTTTTTCTAATCTGCCGATATTTTGGTATACCAGTTACAAGTAACTATATGTGATCGTTGGATGCGTTCACGTGTCAGACAGTGTTTTTTGTTAAACATTTCCTTTCCCGGGCTATTGGTTGTATTGCAAGTGATCCCGAGTATTTTTGCAGAGTGCTTAGGAGATATAAATATTTCCTAATCTTTGAAAACGATGTATTACACTATGGTATTCGTATGATTAAATTTTTCTGCATTTTTCTTTCACATTGTCCGCTTTTACGATGCAATATGGTGTTTTTGTAACCAAATAGAGGTAGTACTGTAACAATTGATTAATTAGGTACATTTTTTACTGTACAGAAATGAAGAATAAGGGGTAAAGGGTGATGAAAAAGTAATGTTATTTATCTTTCATAGCATGAAGTGAAATCAGAGTTTATGATATCGTAAGTATTATCAAAGCCTTTTTTTTGTTAAAACAGCCAAAAAAAGGTTATTTTTTTAAGTATTTTTCATACGTTTTTTTGCGCCATGGAGCGTGCGTAACATTGACGAGGAAAATATAAAATACATTCATACGATTTTTGTATTTGTAGTTTTTTTGTAGAATTAAATTTTCTTTTTTTTAAGTGCTAAACGGGATTTTTTCAATTATTTTTAGTGTTTCATTTTTTTTTTTTTTTTTTTTTTTTTTTTTTTTTTTTTTTTCTTCTTCTTTTTAATTATTATTGTAGCCAACTGTGGCAATGAAAGCTCAGCCAGCGCGAACATATGTAATTTAAACAGCGAGATCTCATTGAAATACACACGTAAATATATGTATGCGTGTATAATACGTACTTGCTTGTTAATATATAATATATCTGTGTACATGCATATTCTTGTTTTGTTAAATTAGTAATAATATAAGCGCTCGTTGTCTTGAATGAAACAATATTTTTAGATCGTTTGCATGTATTTTGCTTTTAGATATTTTATAAGAAACAAAGTCTTATGCATAAGTAANTTTAAAAAAAAAAAAGTGAAAGAAAATAGGTATGGGTTTCAATGCTGCAGTTTAGGAATATTGTCGCACTTTCATTTCGATAATTTTAGGTTTCGTCCATGTAAATAAATGAGAAACCCTTCATAGCTGCAGGTGCAAATTAAGCTAATTCATCGAAAAACCATTCTTTACTTTCACTTTGATTTTCCCACATAAAAATGTTATAATTTCTTGTTATTCTCATCCGATTGATAAGAACTAGAACCTCTGTATATTTTATGGACACGATATAGTAACAAAACCCTTAGTGACTATCAAATATAATTTATCAAAATATACAATTGAAATAAACTTGAATAACCAGAATTTTTTTTAACATGCCACTAATATTAAATGAAAATCATATCACGTCGTAAAACATGAAATTATTTAACGGATTCTGGAAGCTATTGTTAATATAAGTACAATATAAGCAAAAGATTTCAAATGCAAGAGATCGAAAGAAGGATAAAAGCAGGTCTACGCACAGGTGAAAAAAAAAAAAAAAAAATTTAGAGTGACAATGATAATCAACAACCCACCGCTCTTGCCAACGCCGGGGGCGCCGATCACCGCCACCTTGATCTCGCTGAGGGAGCTCTTTTTCCGGCGTATGCCCCTGATCGCATTCGACGTCATGACGATGACCGGGACATCAGGCCGCCAAACTTCTGCTGCTGCTGCCTGCTCATCCGGATCGTTAACCCTCCCGATCGTCCACGATCCACTGACGAGAGAAACGATGATAAACAATCAGAAAAAAAACCACCTTCCCCTCCGCCCCTTGCTGACACTCGCTCACACAGATTGTTCGCGCTTCCCGTTTTACACTTTTGCCTTTTATTTGCGGACCAAAGTTTCCCTCTCTCTCTCTCTCTCTTTTTTTTTTCAGTGCTCAGAGAGAGAGAGATACCGTTTCGGGCGTTCGCGCGCCGGGAAAGCATTGACCCCGTTACTCAGTTTCGCAGTTGCTCTACGGAGTACACATGTATAACATTTCAAGGGAGGGAGAGAGCGAGAGAAGCGCGTTGCGAAAATAAAACAATATCAATATCGAGACTTAACGCTTCAGTGCTACTTTTTGTTAGTTTCCGATGATAAAGTGTACTTGCAAGCTCTCACGTGAGAGTAGTCCAAATATGCTAGTTTGTAGATATATTTACAAGCACTGAGTTAAATATTAAACATCAATAGCCCATATATCAGTAAAATAAAAAAGGATGACATGTGGTTGCGAAAACTTACAAGTTAGGATATGTCAGCAGTAGATGCCTTGAAAAGCTCTCGTGTCGACCTGGTGTATCTATCTATCGAGCCGCTCAACTGTAGGACCGTCCCAAAGTTACGCGCGCCATGGGGTGCATGCTTTCACCGCTTGATTTTTTTTTATCAGGTCAATGTACCTACCCCCAAGCTCTTCGACACACACACACACACACACTCACTCACGGATAAATTGTCAAAAACTATAGTCACTCGTTGACACTCGCACACCACAACCGGTCAGGATCCCACGTGCCGATCGAACCGATCCTTCAACCGGTCCATCGTATGGTTCGGCACGTTTGGGGGGCGCAGATCCGAGCTCGTCCAGCGCGCTTCTGAGCTCAAGCCCGACTGTCTGGCTGTAGTCTCGCCTTCCTCTTGCGCCGTTCGTGTCTTTTTTCAATCGGTTGCGATGTTTCTATCTCTTGACGCTCGTTTGCGAAGCATCTCTCTTTTGGTGGTGTACGCGTGGCACGAGAGCTTTTTCCCGATTTTTCGAAGAATTGCGAGTTTTTTTTTAACTCTTTTGAATGGCTGAGATTGTTGATCGTTTATAGTTTGCGACAAGGAATTCTAATTGCTCGTTTTTTTTTTTTATTAATTGAGCTTTTTAATGTCGTACTTGAACTGCAACTTTTCTCGAATCGGTTTGATGCCTATAAAGAAAGCTCCTGAGTTATACAAAGTACTTTTATTTAATCGAAAACTGATAGGTAGTTTTTCACAAAAGTGTTTGTTAATAGAATGTTGTGGGGTAAGATTAAAAAAAAAATTTTTTTGATGGATTACTTTGCGTTTATAATTGATTTGGTTTTTCGTTGGTAAATGAGTCATCTACAGTTATCATGCGTGCAGCACGTGGTACATGACGAGTTATCGTCAGTAGATACACAATATTTTACAAGTGAGCCACAGTCGTCGTGACGGGAATTTGTGTTACTGCGACAAGATAATTAAAAACTGCGTCCTCATGCAAGGTTCGTCGATTTTCGAAGTATTGGGGCAATTTTTCTCTGATCGTTTCCGTTAAGCTTTTGTTTTTAGTATTTTTACAATCTGGAGCACAACCGCGGAAGATCCAATCACAAGCTCGCGTGAAAAGTGATTTTTCCGGATCTGGAATCATTTGGATGTGATTGACATTAAAAATGTGTTGGAATTTTGGTTTCAATCAAGTATTCACCTTTCTCCGGATATTCTCCGACGTTGCTGGATGTGCCAGTAGTTACATTATCAGGACATTTCTCGTTCAAATCAGATTTAGACATTGGATTCTGTAATTTTGTATTTTCATGTGTTATTCACATAAATCGTGGATGTGCTGGGATAAAATATTATCAACAACCTTTTGATGTCTTCTCCTGGTATCTTTAAAATTTAATCTAGGGCCATTTTTCGTACAAATCGAATCAGCAGGTTGGTTTAGATAAACTTTTTGATGAGTTAGACAGGGAATTATTTTTTGACAGATGTAAGGACCATCTAAAATGGCAGGATTACTTAATAGTTATTTACGTAACAAGTGCGGAAAAGACGATTTCCCGCACGAGTCGTGATTGACTCGCCCGAGTGGCCGGAGTTGACGGGAACGAGTACTAGTTGAGCACACGAGTGCGTAGCACGATTGTGACCGCAAGGTACGAGTTACCGTCACCGGCCACGAGTGCGAGTCTATCACACGAGTGCGGGAAATCGTCCCGCACGAGTTGCGTACAAGTTTTTTCGCAATGTGTGAGGAAAACAGGTACAAAATAGGTTTGAATTTTGATTTCCAGTGTGTAGCAAAATTTTTTTCGGTGTGTGGCAAAACCTTTTCCACGCACCTTTTCTGCACACTGTGCGGAAAAACCTTGGCTGCACATCTTTGTCGCACTCTATGAGGGAAACTCGATTTTCCACACTAAAAATAGTGCGAAAAACACCTATTTTCCGCACACTATTGCGAAATAGTAGTTTTCCTACGAGTTTGAAAAGTCTTTGTTTGCGAACCGAGAGGTTTGCGGCCCGAGCCAAAGGCGAGGTCCGTAACGAGGTTCGTAAAGGAGACTTTTCGAACGAGTACCGGAAAACTGCTTTTTCGCCCGAGGAAGTACCAGCCTCCCAAAACCACCCAAGGGCGGAAAAGTTTTTTTTAATTTTTGCATAATTTTTAAAACTCTTTTATTCATATACTTACTGGAATAACAGGGAAATTCATTCATGACATTTTCCGCCTCTCGATCGAACTCTCGCTCGTTCCGCCCGGGAATCCCGATTTTTGGTATACTCCACGACTGTCCGTTCGTATTCTTAAAAAATAATTTTCAACGATCAGCAACTCCAGAAGCTTCTATATTATTTTTAAATTCAAACCTTGCCGTCCTTGTATCCTTTATTGGTAGCTCGATCGTGACATCTGAAAGAGAACCAAAATTTCTTCGATAATTGGCCAATTTAATGAATCGTGTGGTTTTTTTTTTTAACGCCTCGAGTGGTATCCTATACCTCACTGGGAAATAACGATTGTCACTATGGCTTGATACAGGTGAAGATGCGTCCGAGGCATGACGCTCAAAAGTTTCAAATTTCATCAGCGGCATTGAACGTCCCGCAACACTTTCGGCTAATGATTTCTCCTCCGACCGATCATATGTCCTGCAACGGGACTGCCTGCGTTTGCGATGATGATACTTTTCACTTTTACTCAAAGTGTGTCGTTGAATTTCACGCCGTTGACTTTGACGGAGCAAACAAGCGTTACGATAAGTATATGTACATTTTTGGGGGGGACTTTTCGAAAAATCTAGGTATGTATCTCTCGAAGGAGGTCGAGATTCGACGGAAATACAACCGAGCGTCGATACGTGTATGCAAAGGGAACCTTGTGATTTCGTTCTCGTCGATGGAGAAACTAACGCTCAGGCTGTGCTTCCTCGGGGCCAAGGACTCGTCGACAATGTCTTTTTTCACGATTGACGTCTCATCTTGCTCCTCCTCATCTTCGTCCAAGGCGTCCGTGCCGTCGATTTTCCCGACAATACTTTTCAAACCAACGGCTACGAGGTCTATTGCATAGTGGCAAGCTATCTTGGCGACTAATCAGGTTTCAGGATCGAAGTACGTACATTAGAATGAAAAAAAAAAAAAAAAAAAAAAAAATAGGACGACGGGCTCTTACGCGCTCGAGACTCGGGATTGTAGTAGAGGACGATTCCGGAGAGCAGGAAAAAGACAAGCGATGCTTTTCTCACGTAGGTGATCCATCCGAGGAGCCACGTGACGCCGTTGAACACACATTTACAACCTGCGCGTGGGACCGAAAAAATTTAAGTGGAGAAAGTTATCCGTCAAGTGTTGTCTCTCTGTCGTACGTACGACTTTTTTTTCGTGTCGTCACACGCACTCATGTCCACTTTTTCAATTTATTATTCTAGCTGTTGAAAAAAAGAAGAAAAAAGAACTTTGACCACCATTTACCAGTAGCAGTAAGTGCTTGTGATTGACAAGTGAAAACATGACTATGAAATAACGCTTAACCAAAGTTGCCACAATACGATTGTGCTCTCGTTCAATTAGTGGTATAATCGTCGTATCGTTTACTCCAAAATAAGTAAAGACTTGCAAGAGTCAAAACATTGGGAGCACTTATGATGTAAGCCTTAAACTCACCGCGACAATAATTATGGCTTTCCAAGGATGAGTCAGCCGCAATGCGCGCGCGATAAACTATCGCGAGAAGTACTCCGGTGATCAATAGTGTCGGGCTCATTCTTGATGTTACAATGTCCATGAGGTCCTGATGATGGAGATGTTATTCGGTTTCCCGGTTTGCCAGCACCGACCACGACGACGCATGATTTTTAATCGATAGGTGATGGGTAGTTATTTTACGTGGTGGTGTAAGGTTATAGCTCAGGACAGAAAATTTTGACGTATGGAACACATTTGTTGCAAAATAAACACGTGGACGTGACGATACATAATTACATCGATACCATGTATGTGTAGGATAATGTGGTTAGACTAAAGAAATAATTTACAGAATTTCTTTTGTCAAAATCCTGTAATGGTATGTACAATGTGATTAAAAAAAAAAAAAAAAAAAAAAAAAAAAAAAAAAAAAAAAAAAAAAAAAAAAAAAAAAAAAAAAAAAAAAAAAAAAAACTAAATTTGCATTACTGTAGGCAATACTTAACACGGAACACAGAGTGATCTATTGAAACGATCGAATAAATTGTCGATATATCGAGATAGTATGTCATGTGATAATCATCTCCCACGTACTCGGTAGCCAACGTTAGATACATTATTGTTGTTTTGATTCATAAAAATTTAAATTACTACGTTTATTGAACAGATGGTTAAAAAATAAATTTTCCCGGAATTTTTCGTAATTCTATTGTTTCATGAGTATTTTATTCGATTTAGAGTAAGGGGTAAGGTGCAATTGTGTACCATATTCTCATAATCGTATAAATAGTCAAATTATTGTGATGAATCGAAGAAAAACATAAATTTTAAGATTAAAATATGGATGGGCAGTCAAAAAATCGGGGTTACCTAAAAACCTTATGTATGTCCTTCCAAGTCAAAATTTCGGTGTATTAAAAATACTTTCGATTATACAATCTCACTTGTAAGTAAATATGTGGAAAATAGAATACAAAGCTTTTCGATAATTCAACAAAAAAGTTAATTTTCTTGGTATGAAAGTGTCACGGATTTACGGTTTTGATCAGGTGTACACACAGAATAATTGAAATACATCAATTATTAATGTGAAAATGTGCATGCAACATTGCATGTGTAGGAGGGGTTAGACAAATATAAAAACTACATAATTTGTATATTTATCAATAATTTATTTATCATGCCGATTCTTTACAATATAATACAATGAGAATAAATCAAAATATATGTATTTTTTTCTATCCGTCAAAGCACGACGGTGTAAATAATATGATGCGTATAGTTTATGTGCTCTTGTATACACTACTTATAACTAAATCTTGCAAAATAACAACCATATTTTTTTATTTTTATCCAACAACTATTTCAATATATTTTTTAGCTATTTTACATTCTAAATACATTGTACATTGATACTTTACAGATTTTTTTTTTTTTATTTTTTTTTTTTTCTTCTTCTTTTTAATTATTATTGTAGCCAACTGTGGCAATGAAAGCTCAGCCAGCGCGAACATATGTAATTTAAACAGCGAGATCTCATTGAAATACACACGTAAATATATGTATGCGTGTATAATACGTACTTGCTTGTTAATATATAATATATCTGTGTACATGCATATTCTTGTTTTGTTAAATTAGTAATAATATAAGCGCTCGTTGTCTTGAATGAAACAATATTTTTAGATCGTTTGCATGTATTTTGCTTTTAGATATTTTATAAGAAACAAAGTCTTATGCATAAGTAAAGGAAAATGTATTATTTTATAATATTTATTGTCAACGTAAACAAAATCACAAATGTAATTAGCT